AATAATCACTAACTTTATCTTGCAATTTCATGTCTTTATATGTTTTGGCCTTGGGATCGGATACTCGAATATTAAAATAAACATTTTTAAACTCTTCTGGAAAGTGCTACTGAATTTTTGCTTTTACATAATTGATAGATTCTTTTTCGAATATGACAAGACCATATCTAAGATAGTTAGTTGGAAATCCGAAAAATCCATAGATAGAGATAACAAGAAACTTGATATTAAATTGTTTGCCCTTGTTTCCTGAATCCACTAGAGGATCATAATCCTAAGTAATACATTATTAGTAAAGACCGAGTATGAAATATGTGGAAGAGTTTTACTATATCATATACCTACCATTTTTTCTTCTGATATGAATAAAACAAAGGCATGATTTCGCTTATATATATATATGTTTTGAGTTGGGGATTCATATCTTTGCTATCACATATACATCATTTTTTCGCCGATCATGCCAGCAGGTAATTCACATGTTTTTCCCTTATCAAAAATTTCATTTTGGATCACCAGGTCTGAGATATACAATTCTGCGATGGACAATTCTGATATTTACGCACGCTGAAGAAATTAGTAAAGAAATGATTCACAAAGCCATTCTTCACTATTTTGGGAAAGCACTCGAGGAATGGTTCAATCACTACAAAAAACAATCCTAAACATTTGGCTCAAGGGTTAGTCAATAATAAAGTTAGAATTCAACTTCCATCAGTTAGCCAGAGCTTGCTTCGAAAAACGAAAGAGCACACCCAAAAGATTTATGATTTATTTATGAGATTGGGGTCAATAAGATCAAGCGAATTCAGAGCTTTACAGCAGTAACCTTATCAGAATCCGTGTACTCCCTCCGTAACAACTCTCAAGATACTGGGCATGAATCAGGGAGTGTACGAAGCAGCAACAAGAAGAGAAGGTTGGATAGTTTATTGAACAGACTAAGGTAAGAGATACATTTCCCATTCCCTCTTTTATTTACTATGCTAACCTGCCCCTATTACTAATTACCTATACGATTCTATCTTAATGACTACATTTTTCATGCAACAATAATACTAACATTCTTATGACTACATTTTTTATGCAGCGATAATACTGATTATTAATCTAACTACGCATAACGGATAACACTAATAATAAAAATACTACTATGTGCCCGACATTTTAATTATTGTATGCTGAGTTGTCTTTTGTATTGCTGGTTATTATTATTTTTGGCAAAAGTGATCGGCATAACAATTCGTCATGCATACATAATTTTTATTCACATGAGAAAAAATATCTCGGATTGTCATATCTCCTAATATACCCGCAATAGGTTCATCATATATTTCACTCGCAAATATGGTGAATATACAAAACTTATCTAATAACCCAATTCGCACAAAAAATGAATTGCGATATTCATTAGTATATAGTTATTAAA